GCAATTTGCTAAAGCAGAACCTAAACCTGATGCACCTTCATCACCAATTTAATTGTTACTTTTTAGATTTTGAAGAAAAAATATATCATTAAATACTTAATTAGAAGGAAAAAATGAAGAAAAAATATGAAGTAATAAGATTAATTAATTAATAATAAAAGCAAAAGTTGAAAATAAAATCAAGAGCTAAATTAACAAAGAAAGAACCAAAAAAAACAAGCACAATAAAAGAAAAAGAAAAAAGAGCTTTATTGTTTTTAATTAGTTTTTATAATTAAAAATATCACAATCCAAGCAAATAAACTGTTTTTACCCAAGGTCAAGTTTCAAATTTGAGAGATTAATGCACTTTGCTAAAGCAGAACCTAAGCCTGATGCACCCATTGCACCAATTTAATTGTAACTTTTTAAATATTGAAGAAAAAATATATCATTAAATAGTTAATTAGAAGGAAAAAATGAAGAAAGAATTTGAAAAAATAAGATTAATTAGTTAATAATAAAAGCAAAAGTTGAAAATAAAATGATGAGCTAAATTAACAAAGAAAGAACAAAAAAAAAGCAAGCACAATAAAAAGAAAAAGAAAAAAGAGCTTTATTGTTTTTAATTAGTTTTTATAATTAAAAATATCACAATCCAAAACAAATAAACTGTTTTTACTAAAGGTCAAGTGTCAAATTTGAGAGATTAATGCACTTTGCTAAAGCAGAACCTAAGCCTGATGCACCCATTGCACCAATTCGATTTCTACTTTTTAAATATTGAAGAAAAAATATATCATTAAATAGTTAATTTGAAGGAAAAAATGAAGAAAGAATTTGAAAAAATAAGATTAATTAGTTAATAATAAAAGCAAAAGTTGAAAATAAAATGATGAGCTTAATTAACAAAGGAAGAACAAAAAAAAGCAAGCACAATAAAAAGAAAAAGAAAAAAGAGCTTTATTGTTTTTAATTAGTTTTTATAATTATAAATATCACAATCCAAACAAATAAACTGTTTTTACCTAAGGCGAAGTGTCAAATTTGAGAGATTAATGCACTTTGCTAAAGCAGAACCTAAGCCTGATGCACCTTCATCACCAATTTAGAAAAAGAAAAAAGAGCTTTATTGTAGTTTTTATAATTAAAATATCAAAATCTAAAACAAATAAACTGTTTTTACCTAAGGTAAAGTGTCAAATTTGAGAGATTAATGCACTTTGCTAAAGCAGAACCTAAGCCAGATGCACCTTCATCACCAATTTAATTGTTACTTTTTAGATTTTGAAGAAAAAATATATCATTAAATAGTTAATTAGAAGGAAAAAATGAAGAAAAAATATGAAGTAATAAGATTAATTAATTAATAATAAAAGCAAAAGTTGAAAATAAAATGATGAGCTAAATTAACAAAGAAAGAACAAAAAAAAGCAAGCACAATAAAAAGAAAAGAAAAAAAAAAGAGCTTTATTGTTTTTAATTAGTTTTTATAATTAAAAATATCACAATCCAAGCAAATAAACTGTTTTTACTAAAGTTCAAGTGTCAAATTTGAGAGATTAATGCACTTTGCTAAAGCAGAACCTAAGCCTGATGCACCCATTGCACCAATTTAATTGTAACTTTTTAAATATTGAAGAAAAAATATATCATTAAATAGTTAATTTGAAGGAAAAAATGAAGAAAAAATTTGTAATAATAAGATTAATTAGTTAATAATAAAAGCAAAAGTTGAAAATAAAATGATGAGCTAAATTAACAAAGAAAGAACAAAAAAAAAGCAAGCACAATAAAAAGAAAATGAAAAAAGAGCTTTATTGTTTTTAATTAGTTTTTATAATTAAAAATATCACAATCCAAAACAAATAAACTGTTTTTACTAAAGGTCAAGTGTCAAATTTGAGAGATTAATGCACTTTGCTAAAGCAGAACCTAAGCCTGATGCACCCATTGCACCAATTTAATTGTCTCTTTTTAAATATTGAAGAAAAAATATATCATTAATTAGAAGGAAAAAATGAGGAAAAAATATATCATTAAATAGAGTAAGGTACCATAAAAATTTACAAAAAGTGAGTTTTATATTCCAGTTTTTCATTTTATAAAATAAAAATTTTAAATATTTTTTATGAAATTTTTTCCATCCTCGATTTTCAAAAAAAATGAAATGTTATGCTTTCTAAAAATTAGCTTTATTTATAATGTTATTAAGATATAAATCAAATAGGTATTTCACTATAGTTTATTAGGAGGAAAAAATGAAGAAAAAATATCAAATTATAAGATTAATTAATAATAATTAATAAAATTAACAAAGAATGAAAAAATAAGAAATCATAATAAAAAGAAAAAGGAAATCAAATCAAATAAATTAAAAGAA